TTGGATTATTGAGTGTGGAACTTGATACATAGAACATAATATCTTTACTTTACCGATTCGAGCCAAATGAGCCAATATCAAACAAGATCAAACAATTACGGATAGAAAAATTGTAACCGTACTATTTTAATAAATATTCCAAGGTATAAAATCCGCGGAACTTAGTTAACGACTAACTTCCAGTGTCTAATATTCGTCTAAACGAGTCCACCGGATGAGAAGCATGGTTACCATGCCGAGTGCCGTGAAACAAAAAGAGCAACGTTGCTTCCCCTGAGGCATCTCGGGTAAAAAGACTTTTAGCTGTTACAGTTGTCGAGTTCGTATAAAGTGATGCAAATGAGGAGCACATTTGCACGTTTAAAAACACGCGGACGCAAGATACTCTTGAGGGGGAAAAAAAACTGTGCTAGACTCCGAAGAGAATTCTCACGACGGCGAAGAATGAGGAAAAATTCTGTAACGTCGACCTGTCTCGGCCCGTGTATCTCGTGAAACTTCGACTCGAGCGAAGACACACCGCGAGTATAAACCGTACAAACGATGATAAACATGAATAATTGTAAACGGACATTTCACTTCTGCTGTCGTTCACGATAACGTTAACCCCTTTGAGCGGGTACAGTGGGTCTATCCTCATCTTGATTTATACGTAGGGATTACAAAAAGTTCGCGTAACGAGGCGGCCATTTTGTTTTACGTAGTCATAATGATTATCGAGAAACGTCTGAACCCCACAGCCAGAGTGTACTAAGTCACACTTTTGAAACTTTAGAGGAGGGTAAATCAAAGGTGCGAAAACCTTGTAAGTTTAGAACCGTTCGGTAAGAATTGAGCGAGAAACAATTGCTACTTTTGAACTATTGAATGGATTTAAGACAAGTCTCTACTAAAAATTGCGAACTATACATTAATTCCCCTCTGTGATGAACTTTACACCGTTTTAAAATATATGAACTTAATATCATTTTTAGACTATTACATACCTATACTAAAAACTCAGAACGAAATAATTTCTTCCATTCGAAAGAGTGAAATATTTGATAGAAGGAATATGTAAAATGTCATTCATTTAAAAAGTGGACTTAATACGGTCTAGCTCTGGGGTCCAGATGTATATATTCAAACGAACCTTAACACCCCAGGTTGGCGCGTCGATCGAATCGAGAAACAGGGAACCGTCAACGGAGATCCTCCATCCACGTGGTAGAGGTATATAAAAGAAGCCATCTAATTCCACACCCCTAATTTCACCGAACCATCGAGCACAAATATTTTCCCCTGTCGGTGTCACGGGGGCTGGCTAATACAGATCCTCCCTACCATCGTCGGCTCTTATCGTTCTCCGCTCGTCGACAAGTGTTGTTTATCAGGCTGATGTCACTTATACCGATGCCCGGGGAAACCCCGAAATTCGAGGTAATCACGCTCCCCTTGATCCCCGGGATCGAGAAGGCCGACACGGGGGCCGCCACCACCCCCAATGTCTTCGCGCACTTTCGTCTCCTCCCTGCGCTCCGACAGAAAATCCGCTGTCTGGTCCTAACGGAGTAGGACGGGGGAGGAAAGAAATAAAGACGGAACAAAAAAAAAACAAGAATCTCCGATCCCCTGCCTCTCGGGGAGAAAATAACGCTCTGCCTGTACGGGATATTACGAGGCGGCGTGCGGATGTTAACGTCCAGTCGTAGCTTTCTTTTTTCCCTTTTTTTTTTTTTTTTTTTTTTGTTTGCGGGGTCGCGCAGCTCTTGGGAGATAGGGTCGGGGACATATAGCTCTGTCAGATAGCGGGACGCTGTAAATCTGTGCATTATACATGACAGCGAGATCAGCGCCATTCGTTATTCCATGGGACATGGGTGGGAGGAAGGACGTGAAGAATTACCGGCGCGGACGGCACTTACCGAAACGAGGCTCCCGGGGTGCATCCGACGGCGGAACACTTGCCAGGAGGGCTAGTTACGGAATTGAAATTATCGGCGGTCGTCCCCACTCCCCCCTCCCCCTCCATCTCCACCGATCTACCCGAATTGCGCGGCTTTCGACAACGTAGAGTGGTGTGGTTAGCGATAGGTCCGTGAATAAACAGTCGGAATATGTTTGGACATTTTCGAACAGAAGTTATTTGGACTGTTCAGACAGTGTACGGTTGTTTCAATGATTTCAATAAGGTCACACGTCTCGAACAGTTCGTACATCTTAAATTGGTTATGCAATTCAAACGTTTTGTACTGTTCATACATCTCGTACAGTTCAAACACTCCAAATAGTTCAAAGGTGTCAAACAGTTCAAACAATTGAAACGTTTCAAACAGTTCAAACTTAAGTACATTGGAAAGAGTAAAAGTTTGAAGTTTCATTCAATCCGTTTAGGTTATAGGCCGAGGGTTGGTCCCTAGTGGCTTTTAGTGACTGCGAGGAAGAGAGGGCATCGATAACCAAGCTTCAGCGACTTGGCCGGTCGAACACTTGGAACTTTCGAATGTTTGAAACGTTTGAACGGTTTGGACGGTCGACATGTTTGAAACGTTTGAACTCTGTCTGAAACGTTTAAACTGTTTGAACTGTTTAAAACATTCGACTGTTTGAAATGTTTGAATTGTTCGAAAACATCCTCGTCAGTAATCCAAACATGTTTGACCAGTCTGATTACCCATCACTGATGACCAAAGAGGGTCTAAAAGGGGAGCATGACAGCGCGATCAAGTATACATATACGATCTGACACAGTAGCTACATATCTTACAATGGCAGTCAATCCCCCATCGAACGCTTGACAAGGAAAAGCCACATGACGGATCGATGTCGGGTCACCTCTGGCCCGTGACGGAATTTCCATTACAGGTGCTTAAAGGGCTAGCTTCAGAAAAATCGCACACCGTGTTAACAGGTTACCAACGTTTAATTAACAAACTCCGAAGGTGATTCGAATCGATATCAGTTATCAAAAATTCATCACAGTTCCCAGTCGCGACGCGACCAGTTCCCCAGTTTGTTGTGTCTATAATGCAGACTCTCTGGAACACCCTCCACACTGGTTTCCAGTCCCCGTGGCAAGACAATAAAAGCCACGTCTATTGAAGTTTTTTATCGATTTGTTAATTTTCGGGGCGGTACAGCGCGTGATTTCGTTCTTGAAAAACAATTCCGCGTTATCGTTGCTCCTTTCGTGGCCGACGGGGCTATAATGTTCCCCCCCCCTCCCTCCTCTCAACCCGGAGGCGGCCAGGCGAAATCTGAACCAAGCGAATTGAACGTGCAGGTGTCCGTAAATAAACTTGCATCGAGCTTGTGCAGCAAACCGGCGAACGTAAAGGGTAGTTACGCTCTCGCGGGTTCCTCTCCCACAAAGGTGTATACCCGCCCTGTTTTCCAACCCGACGCCGATTTTTATTTCGGCGGACTGTGTGTTCTTCCATGCTAGGCCTCTCGACCACGTCTAAGGGGCGGATATAAAAAAACTTGTGTATACATATATACATTGTGTATCCAGATAAATTAAATTAAACTCAGTAAAATGAAAATTCACCCTTTAGAATGCGGTCGAGAGGCCAAGCATGGAAGGACATAGTCCGTCGAAATGAAAATCAGTGTCAAGTGTCGGTTTGTGTATTTTTGTTACAGACGTAGGCTACTCAGCAGGGGTAGTTAATGGCTCTTAACCCTTTAACGGTGACGAGTATAATCGTCATAACGAAATTAATAGAAATTTTGACAAAAACCCACCGTTAAAGGGTTAACGGTGTTTGACGAGTATACTCGCCATAAGGTAACTACAACTATTGAGTAATGACGAGTATATTCGTCAGTAGCTTGATTTAAATTACACGCGTAGATACACATTTTCAAAACCAAATTCCACCGTTAAAGGGTTAATTCGGGATCTCGTCGTATCGGTTCCGGGACCTACACACTTATTGAGCCGCTCCGCGAGTTATACTCGAGTAACCACCATGACCGTTCAAGGGCCACGTATAGTGTACGCAATAATGAAACGGGATAAGGTTATTTTAAGTTTCTGACTTATGCACCGCCATTAAAGGTTATAGGTCTCCATTCAATATTAAAGTAGTTCGGCTTGCTCGATAGACAACCTGCGTCAGGCGGCTGGGGAGTGTGGTGGTCGGGGTTAGAGACATAACCTCACTCGTCGGAGGAGAACGTCTTTATCTCCAGGATGGAGAAAGGTATAGGGGGGCTGTGGAAAGACGAGTGGTCGCGTAATTCAAGACTCGACGGCGCTGAGGGGGGAGCGCTTGGCATTGGACCAATGACATGTTGTTCGATGCACCCCCCACGAAGGGGATGGCGTGTGCGTGTCGTACGTGAACTGTTTCTGACAGTCATGACTGACGTTGATCTCTTCATGTTCTTTTTTTTATTTCGACCACTTACGAGTCATTTCACACTGATCTGGTGTTTCAGTCAGCCAAGAAGAAACAACACGTACATATACAGGGTCTTCCAGTTATACGTTTTGGTATTGTAAGAGGAAGGGGCTGATAGAGGAACAGAGACGGTGCAGGATAGAGTTGGGCACAATTTTATTTAAATAATACATAGCGAAAAGCGGCAGTATGAAAGAGTTTCTTGGAAATACAAAAATCGATAAATTAACGAACCTTGTGCACTTACTTATTGCAATAAAAATGGCAAAAAATCTGAAAGAATGCAGTGTCCTGACATTATAATAATTTTTGTAAAAGATTTTTAGCCATTTTGACTGCTTTGGTGGTTCGAGGTATTAAGATCAATTTGTCTCAACAATCGAGGAAGAAGACAGCTACTCTCACGAACCGAATTTCCATGGAACTGAATTAGGGTATATATTCGCTGCCATTCGAAGGGAATAACGGTTCACAGATAAGGCCGGGAACGTTTGCATTCGACCAAAGATATAAAAGAGTAGATTTAGGCAAGATAAGTGAGACATGCGGTTTATTGAACGGTCATGTTGTGTGGTTCCAGGGCAGTTCCAGTCGAGCAGGGGTTCATATGGAATGGCATCACGTGGACCGTCGTCGACGCCGCTGCCAATCGCGATAGCGATGGCGGTCGTCGGATTGTCAATCGTGGCGAACGGTCTCTGCCCGACGCAGTGTCGCTGCGACGACGAGAGCCTGCGCGCTTCGTGCGCTTACGCTGGCCTCGAGGTTGTCCCTATCCAACTGAATCCAGAAATCAAGCATCTCGATCTGTCGAACAACCGAGTCGGAAGTATCCACCTGTCGTTCGGATTTTACGGTAACCTGGAGACGCTGGATCTCACCTCGAACAACATCCACACCTTGGGCTCCGACAATTTCGTCTTTCAAAAGAGCCTCGCCACTCTGAACGTGAGCAACAACGGGATCCGTGCGTTGGCGAAGAACACGTTACAGGGTATGGACACGCTCAGGGAGCTGAATCTCGCTGGGAACAATATATCCGACATGGACGAGCAAGCGTTCAAGAGCACCAGCGAGCTAGAGGTCCTGAATCTCAGCGAAAACACGATCACAAGTCTGCCCCCTGGTTTGTTGCGTAATCTGCACAAGATCCGTACACTGATCCTGAACAAGAACTCGTTGCTCGAGGTGCCCACCGACAATTTAGCACTGGCGCCCAGTCTCGAGAACCTGGATCTCTCGGACAATTTGATACAGGAGCTAGACAGGGACTCGTTACCCTCGTTGCCGTCCCTGGTCTCGTTGGATCTGGCGAACAACGTGATCCGTAATATCGCGGACGATGCGTTCGATCGTCTCCCAGACCTTCTCCACCTCGATCTCTCGGGAAACAATCTAACCTCCGTGCCCACCGCCTCTCTGGCCCGGCTGAACGTGCTCTCGCGACTGGTTCTCAGCAGGAATCCTTTGGGCGACCTTAAGGTGGTCGGGTTTCGGAATCTCTTCGAGCTGAGATCGCTCGAGCTGAACGACTGCGCGATATACAGCGTGCACGCGCGTGCTTTCGCAGACAATGTGAACCTCGAACGAATCTCGTTGGACGGTAATCGGGGGCTGAAGGAGCTACCCGCGAGGGTTCTCTACAGCGCACGGTATCTGAAGTCCGTGTCGCTTCGCCACTGTAGCTTATCCACTCTGCAGCCTACACAGTTCCCAGTGGACGGATTGTCGTCTCTACGAGTTGGTGGGAATCCCCTGGTCTGCAACTGCTCGGTCCACTGGCTGTGGAACGTGATCCAGACGGAGGAACGACGGAACGGATCGCGTCTAGAGCTGGACACCAGAGACATCGTCTGTTCCGATGAGGAGTTCGCTGGGAGACCGTTGATGGCGCTGTCAGAGGGCTCGTTACGATGTCGACTTAGCGCCCTCTATCTGTCTTTATCAGCGGCCGGCTGTCTGGCCGCGACTGCGACCATATTGGCCCTGATCGTCCATATGACACGGTCCAAGAGGAAGAAACGTTTGGCGTATGCAGCGCCCAATCGTCCCGAGTTCCTGGTCTATGTGGGTCGGAACAACGACGAGCTGGACAAGAACGCAGAGTCGTACAGTAGACGTCTGTTGGCCAGGAACGAAGACACCACCCCCTATGACACCCCGCGCGGGAAGATCGGCCAGAGAAGCCCCCAGTCACAGGACACGAACATTTACGAGATACCTAGGTACAACAGAGGGACTCGAAGTCGCGACACTGAGTCGTACCCCAGACAAACGGAGGAGGGTGTGTACGCTGTCGCGGACGTGACTGATTTAAGGGACGAATCGCCGGAAGTGTTGTCCCTGTATCGGATACAGAGCCCTGTACCGCCTAGAACGAACGTTCATCGGCCGGCGTACGATTACGAGTATGATTACGATTATGATTACGAAGCTCCGTTACCCGAGAAACCTCACGTCGTGTTTGTTTGAATTGTGGAATCTTCAGGAAGGAGAGAACCTGTTACGTTCTATCCGTGCGGTGGTAAATAGTCCAGGGAGCGTGTATGGTAGGTGGCTCCCCGGAGGACACTGGCGATTCTATGAAGCTTTCGCCCCCCAGTCCGTTGAGAATGGGGCGTAACGAGCAGTTAACGCGACCGGTACGCGTTTCAAGATTCTACCGAATAGAGCCGGTAGATCGATATGTGTGATCTGTGTTTCAACGAGGATTATGAAAGAAATTCCGAGCGTGGACGGTTTTTGATTGTGTGGAGTAGGTTTGTAAGTAGCGATGGGACCGAGCGGAAATCGTCACGGGGATAGCAGAGTGGATGCACTCGGTCATGATAACGTATCTATAAATATTAACTTTTTTTTCAATTACTTGGTTTGTATTCAAATAATTTTTACGTCAGGTTTGAATGTCATCAAGTAGACGTCCACTGTAGTGGACAAATGCAGTTAGGTTAATTTAATAAATTACATTTTTCCAATTTTTCAAATTGAAATCTATACGTTATAAAACGGTGTGGATATTAAGAATTCTAATATTCGTGTGCCAAATATTTATTGATATTATTGTCATTTAACATTCGACTTTAATAGTTGCAAAATCTCTTAAGTGTCCATTCATTGGTGCATTTACTCTGTTTTACGAGTACGGTCGAGTTTCGTTGGAAACGCGCTTCGAATATGTTCCGCGAATGTACCTGGAACGAATACAGTAAATCTCCGGTTAACGCACGAAACTTGGGACCTCCTTAGAGCAATTATTGCAAAGGAACACAATATCTGCACTTCATGAATTGCATTTTGGGCCAAACCTCCAGTGTGGAACCCTTCGAGTAGTTGGGATGAATGCTTCTGCAGCATTCAGCGTTGAGATCTCTCCGCGTAGTTATCGAGAATTTACTGTAATTCCGTTCTCTCGTTATAAACACGCTGCTTGTCGAATTTCTTGGAATTTTATCGCTGTTTGCATTGTGTCACAGGGCGAATAGATGTAATTTTTAGAAAAACGTTTTCATTGCTCGCTATTAGTTGCGTTGACGGTCTCGACTGGTGTACTTATAGAGAGGGAACAGGACTGTACTTACAAGCATACCTCAGTTTCAGGTTTTTATATATATATATGTATATTTGTACACGTTGTACGGACAGTAAGGATTGAATACCACTGCTGAATGAATTTGTAAATACGTATTCGAGCCTTGTATGTACTTATTATTGAGTTCGAAAGTAGCCGAAAATGGCTACCACTGGCGAAGGTGCAGCGAATAAAGATTAACACGGCTAGTGACAATGTTGTCATCACTGAAAATAATACAGTACTATGAATACAGCATTATAAAGTACAGTGATTCCTCGATGAATGCGACAAGAGCAAAGGCGTTGTTCCCACCACCGGGCAGGTTCCTCTCTGGAACTAAACAGAAGATAAGCAAAGGCTCAGCTTCATTCTAAAAAAACAAACAAATTAATGAGGGGCTGAAAACATTTCCGCCTAGCCATGAATGTTCCGAAGTGGACCCGAGTACGTTGCACTCATCGAGACATTACTGTATTAGTTTTTTCCTCCGAAAAGGCCGTTTTTAGTTCTTCAAATGAGCAACAATTATTTATTATAGTATTAATATCTCTTTTAAATAACAATAATATTTTCGATCTATAGATCTCATACATTTATTTTACGCCTGATACATGAACAATTCTTATTACAGTACTAATCGAATCGTTCGAATACATTTTTTTTCGCGATCTGGTGTCGCCAGTAGCGATTCTTTTGTTTTTCTGAGTATTAATCGAGCCCAACGAAACGAGCCTTAAACGATCAATCAATTGATACATATATATATTCATGAGAGTACGTATTGGCCTCGGTCCCATCGCTGATTGTCGCGATCAGGGGGAAGTGGGAGGGGGGATAACGAAAGCTAGGATTTAATCGAGGATCTGTTCTGACTGATTGCCCGAGATCTATCGTGATAAGGTAATCCTTCCTTCGCCCGAAAGTATCGATTCTGTCGTCTGTAGGGTGCGAGGGAGGCCAGATCGAGGTGTTCTTCATAGGTTGAGCACTTATCAATGACAATATAGATCGAGGGACAAATCGCAGGACAATGTGTACCCAGATTCGTCCACGCTGGTAATCCTCCTAGGTTATATTACTCTGAAAACTTTCAAAACTCGAGTCGACCAAGCGACGATAAGTTTCTAACCTTACCTCGAGTTTGAACGCCACACCAGGCTCGAACTACACCTTTGAACCTGAGAAGTCCAAAACATGTTCGAATCATCTGCGGACCCATCGATAACTGCGTGTGCTCGGTACACGTACGCACCTGTCGAAGCGTTAAAGATCCTTTCTAACCTAGATCATTACCGTTAAACTGTCGATCAAAAGTTCTTCGGTCTTTAACCCTTTCCAATCAGAATTATTTCTTTTAACATACAAATTTTCCACCACATTTGTACACAACTTTCCCGGTTGTGGTTGGCCGTATCGCGAGCCATTAAACAGAAAGATTCATTAAAAATCAGCTAAACGTTGGGTAACGATCACATGTACGATCGTCTTCCACTGTTGAACGTCTTTGACGAATCTGTGAACCAGTACGACCAGGCTTTCATAGGACCGTGGGTGGACGATCTGGAAAATGAAATGTCTTCCGAGATAGTTGCCCACGCCAACGTGCCAGAATGCATTTTCACCGGCTCGAGGGATACGCAATGTGACACGGAATGCAAATTGTACGAGGGGAAACGTGGCCCCGCTAGCGCAATCGTCCGAGCGGGTCCGTTGGAACGGTTATTTACTTTCCGCGGATCGCGTCCCCCTCGTCGGCTCGGTGGAAATGCTTCTGTTCGTATGGCGGGTGGCGTTCGTTTCGTATTTAAACGTAGTGACAAATCAAATCAAAGGCAGCGTCTCGTTAGTCACGTTTAGACCGATCTAGCCTGGATGTCCCAAGATTCGCAACTCGTGTCTTCTCCGCCATCACCGTCTCGCTCTTTCATCGGGCCTTTCTGGCGGTTCTTCTATCCGCCGTACCCACCCATCCCCCTCCCCCCATTTCCAGAGTCAAACGAAGTCCGTTCTAGGCCAAGGAGCGACGAGATTTCCGCGATACACAGTCGGCTACCTCCTCAGGCGTGGATTAACGAGAAACGAGTGTAAAAGGAAAGAAGAGATGCTTTGTAGGGGCGCGGTTCAAACGGTCTGTCACGATATTTACACCGGTGAGCCTCCACCGAGGGCTGAGAATTTACCAGTATTGCAACGTTGCTGTTCGGGTCGGTTCACGACCGTGAACGTTGCGTCGATTGATTCATCCCTTGGGCTCGGTTTTAATCAATGATCGCACGGACCAGATGAGATTATTGCTGTTATTGTCGTTTGTTCGCGAAAAAAGAACCAGAAACAATTCCCTTTGGGACGGTCGAGATTTGCAAATCACTCATTTGTTCGTTTATACGGGCTGTTTTTCGGATTTGTCGTTGTGATCGAATATTTGTGTTTAGTGGAAAAATTTTAACAAAATTGCAAATTTGATGCACTCCTAATACATTCAAATGTATGATACCGTAGGTTGGGGTAACTTTGACATTCAGTCAAGGGTAAGCTTTGTCCCAAAGTCAGAAAATAATCATTTCCGATTTTATTTATTTATTTATTTAAATTTAAAAAATTTTTAATAAGGTACCAATTTATTTTCGACGTAACAAAACCATTCACAAAAGTATCCCGTTTCCGTATATCTTTTCGTAAAATTAATTGAAGAGACTTTTGCTGTGAACATCGACAGTCTAGGTTGCAGGAAAACGTGGTGACATTCGTGCACACTCATGACATCACAGTGTTGCTTTCACGTTCTCCAATTAACCGGTCCGAATTAGTACCATCTAAAAACAATATGGGCGTGCATAATGTGTATACCACCTGAAAATTTTGTGACGGCAGTTTGGAGTGAAAGCCCGCGCGTTAACGCGTTCCTCTGTGTAAGACGTATTGTATTTAAGGGAACAAAACGGCACGTGGTCAGACAGACACGCGCGAGCCAAACGGTTCCCCTTGTTTTCGAGTAAATTTGTACACGGGGGGCCAGCGGCCATTTTTTCCGCCATTTTGTAAATTGAAGCAATAATAGACGCGACCTTTACCTAATAGACATACCATTGACACACCAAGTATATAATTAAAGAACGAAATTACACGTTTATACAGACTTGAGCGTATACATGTACACATATAAATAATATATATATTTATTTATTAATTTATGATGTTAAGTTTAGAAAGATGTTACGTTTTGAATACGATGAGAGAAAGAGAGAGTGAGAATGAAAGACAAGAAAGCAAATAATAATTGAATGCATCAAGAAGATAATGAGTACATCTCCCCCTATGAAAATACAGGCTGTTCATAAAGATCTTGCCTATTTTCGTGAAACTTAAAGTGTTAGATGGAGTTCAGTTTGAATTGTCAAACATTCTTTGAACAATTAATACTTTCATGAGTATACATATATAAACTTACGGTGCCGCTTAGAATTATTCGAAAGATATGACTTTTGGAGTTTACGACAATGTTTAGACTCAGGTATAAATTTCATGGCCCTTAGCCCCTAACTGTAATGTACCAGAGAAACATTTTTCGTTTTATTGTTTCCCTGGGACCATGTCCCTACCAGGAGTCATATAAATACGAGATTCACCTTTTCCTTAATCATTTTTCGTTCGTCCCTTAGCGAGACAACATTCGTTCTAACGTGCTAAAAATACCGGGAGTTACAGTGATTTCAATAGAAAAACGTTCTTACAGTGTGTGTGTTCTTCGTGGTGATGGTTATTCGATCGGTGATATCACAAATAAACTAGAAAAGCAGTGTGTGGAATATCACGGAGAAGAAAGAAACGACTGGTAGTATAACGAACAGAAAATTCTTTGTGTTTTCCTAAATCAATCCAAACGTTCGAATACTATTCAGCG